GTCACTGATAACATCCAAGTGGGTTGCTTTACCTTGGATGTCGTGTTCCGCTGTATGCGATATTATCATTGTTGTGGCCCAGGTCATGCACCTATATCGTCGGCGCACTAACCTCATGCCAGGGTATGATGGGCGTAAGATGTCCTGTTGTTGTTGTCTCTGATAGTTCTGCAGGACTCGGAGTATTCGGCTCCTCAATGTCTTATCGTTCTATATCATAAGCACCGGCATGTTGACCAGGTTTGCGCACAGTCCCAGACGGCAATCTTGGTCCTCATCACTTCCATGCAGTATTGTTGCGACTATCGATCTGATTGTGGTAGGCATCCCGAATTTGGTATAATGTCCTTAGAAAAGCCATTGACCATGGACGCCAGTCTATCATTTTTGGAACGAGTGCTATTCAAATCTTCATGTGCATGATCATGGGCGCGTGTCAGTCACTTCCTCTGTGTATTTGTTTCATGTACTAAGCATTCCATACAGTCTATGGGGTCTCCTTTCTTGCAAAGTAGGTGCTTATGTTGTAGGCATATCTGGTGTCATAACACAATTCGATACAGTTTGGACGCACGTCGAGTCACACGCCATATGAATGAACGTGATATGGAGCACGGCCATATGGCAAACCTTGCAACCAACAGCTTACGCGTCTCTGGAATCCGTGATGCTACCAAGCCAAGCGTACTTGTCTTCAAGTCGAGTGCTACGACAAATTTCTCAGTGAGTAGCTAAATGATTGGATTTGTGCTGATGTTTCAGTTGAGTGTTGTGTTAGGCTATGGATGCCCATTCTGAACCATCTGAGGAAGGAGAGAAGATGGAATCGATCTCTACTTCAAGACCCCAGGAACCTGCGGGCACAGATGATGGGGATGTCGTATGAGGTCTCACCCATTATGGCAAGCCGAGAGTAAATGTATCCACAAGATAGTTCCCTGTACCGAGATCCGTATCACAGTGTCCGTGTTCATCAATAGATTACTGTACCTGAACGCCACAACTGTTCAGCTTCCATCCTTCCCTCAGCCCAATCACCACTGTCTCCCAACCAGGGATGAAACCACTTCAGTGTTCCTATGCAACGTCGGCAGCGATTTCAGCACTGTGCTGTACGTTTGATATACTCCACGTTGCTGGCCCCAGAGAAAATCCCGTCTGGGGTTCACTACGAGTTTCTTGAATCGCGAGTATCGCGGATTGGACAGCAGAGTCGATATTTGAGGATTCTGAGCGTGTACTGACTTCAATCCCGCACAAGTCGAAAGCTGGAGTTTCCAGCGCACGTGCCCCTGTCGATTCGCCACACTTGAGTAATGTTACAACAAATGGTGGGGCTTGTTGTTTATGCAGAGACTCAGCACTTGCAGACATGAGGGAGTCTGTGGCAAGAACTTTAAGGGATACCTACAGACGGTGGTAGGGTAGCTGTCTAGATCTACGGTCTTCAATACTTCCAACGATTATGAAAGATCATGATGCTCTGCAATTGGAAGACGGAAACTCAATTACAGCACGAGGGGGGCAGATGCGGAGATGAGGCAAGGGGAGAGGCAAATTTAGCGCGTCAATCACATTAGCAAGCTCCACCTTAGCGTAGACGCTGGAGATTTGAAACCGCAGATACAATCAACGCAAGGCCGTCATAACTCCGTATCTACAGATTTATAGCCATGCGTATTTATTATGTGTATTTCGCACACGTAAAAGGCTATATGCAGACATTCGGTAAGAAGACCACTTGAGAAGCGTATGGTTACAAACAGGCGCGGCTAGGCTTGTGAGACAAACGCGGGAAGAAATGCCTTCAACTTTCAAGGTGTCGCTATTGCGCTTGTCGTTGAGAGCGTCGATGCACCTCGCCAAGAATATCAAGAGGTAAGGAGGACATCGACATCGGGTCCGTAAAAGAAACGAGTTGGGGTGGAGAAAAGCCAGCAAGGATAAAGAACCCCGTAAGGAAAACCCAATGAAAATCGATTGAAAGAATTGAATGAAGTCAAAAAGATGAAGGCTATTATCAAGGATGGACAAAAGCTTTTGGTAATCTGAAGTCGTTTATATCTCGATAATATAGAAGAGATGTCGCTGTTCGACCGGTAAGAATGGTCGACCAGCAAGAGCTCACGCGCGCAACAACGGCTTGTAGTCTGGAAGCCTCTCGTCCACAAAGTCTTTCACGATGAGTTCAACTATGAGTTCAAGAACCTCAGGGGGGATACGGGGGAATCCATTCCAACGGTCGTCGTGAGGTGAATGTCGTCAAGGTTGAACTTGTATCGCATCGGGCCAATAAGAGCGTGTTATCTTATCCGATCAACAATCGCTTGACAACGATGGACTCGGAACGTCTTCAACCATTTTGTCCTTTCTGCCTTGGCTCCTGGCTTCCTCGATTGTCATATCTCGCCAGCGTAGGATCTTGGTCACTACTTTTAGTTTCAATTCGGCTGCTTTTTTTTTTTGGGATGACCGTGCACTGACTGCGAGAAGGAGAAGCCTGAAGTGCACTTGAGGCCCCAAAAGGCTTGCTGGGGATGCTCATGGGGCGCGAAGCTTGCACCATAGGAGATCATGTGTGAACGCTGTAACTCTGGAGGAGGATTGGGCAAGCCATCGTTGAACGAAAAGTCCGTCTCAACATCTTGGATCCTGCACTATGCTCACCCCCGTTTTCCCCTCCTACGTAGTACATTGTATGATGTATCAAGGGCACTTTACATGAACATCGTTGTGCTTGTACGGTGTTCGTGTAAACTTTGAAACCTACTCTGGCCCGCATCCCCCCTGAAGGTTCTCTCCGCGTCGTGATCGCAGGCTTCTCACCTCCTCAAGAGTCTGAGAACGGATGACTTTCCTGTCTCTTGGACCCAACAATTTGTCAAATTTCTCTCTGGCAATGTACATTTATAAATGCTCAATACAGGTGCGACCACTGCCTTCATTTCGCGTTCGTAACGCTATATTTAGATGGATCAAACGTAGGAGATAGTTACACCAGAGGTGCTTGTGGTGACAGATGTGAGAACCTGCCCGCTCTGCTGGATATCAATGATGGTAGATCCCCCTGGCCCAACTGTCGTTCCCGAGGTCGTGGTGGCCGAAGCACCACTGAAAGTGACTTTACCGAAATTGGCGAAAGGCACGAGCGATCCTCCCTCCTCGAAGTCTTCAACGATCCACTCGGCGTTCTGTTGGCAGAGCGAAGAGGTGGAGGTGAGGGCCTTGGATACGGTCTGTCCCGTGGACTTGTTGTTGATGACGGCGGTGCCGGACTTGGTGGAGGAGGCGGTGACGGTGAGCGTGATAACGTCTCCGGCTCTGACGGAGATGCCGGTGAAGTCGTGTGCGAAGTCGGGGAAATATTCGTACCAAGCTGTCATATACACAAAATTTAACATCATGAACAAGGGTTAAAATGGATTACTTCGTACCGTCGAAAGAGACAGCACCGTTAGAAATGGTGAAGTCGATACCAGTCTGGAGGATCGCGGTTCCGCACGTATCACCGTCGATACCGACCCAGGCTGAGGCGGCGCCCGAGCTTCCCGAGGGAGTAGGTACAGTGAAGGTACCAGTGACGGACTTGAAGGTTCCCTAGACATAAAAGAATGTGAGGATAGCATCGTACGTCTGAAAGAAGAATCATTACAGCAGGCATAGTATCCCAAACGGCCCCTGCCCAGTTTGAGCTGAACTCGACGTGGGAGACGTTGCTAGCGGCGACCTCCAAGTTACTGACAATGCGGTTGTTCGGCTGCGATTGACGGCTGGCGCGACGGCGTTCGAGACGAGCTGCCAGGCGCTCGGAAGAGGTGGCAGGAATGGCGAGGGCGCCGGTGGTAAAGAGAGCAGCGAGGATGAGGCTAAGCTTCATTGTGGAACTCGTAGGGATGTCTGCGAGGTGAGGATGTGAGATCTTGACATCCTCAGAGGAAATTCTGGCCTTTTTATCGTGCTATCCCTCGCACAATGCTCTCAAAGCTCGCATGCTGTATTCTTCGAAATAGATTGCACCACGCGCTGAAGTTAATAGCAACCCACTGTATATCGGCCAGCTGGTAGATAGTAAAAATAGACACCTATCGGAGCCAGGAAGAATTTGACGAGAGTGGTTTAGAGCATCTGATAGTTGATGAGGAGATAACGAGCCACGCGGTTTGCATATCACATTGAAGATTCATTTTCTGGTGGTTCAAGGTCGATACCATGCCGCATTTATCTGTGCGTGTGGCGCGAGGCATAGTTCCGCGACGACAGCCGTCATTAAAGGGACGAGCAGCGGCCATTGAAGGAATAAAGCCCATGAAGATGCACGAAAAGAGACGAGCGCGCCTTCGAGAGCCGAGGGGGACAAGTCAGCATTTTCACGAAAGAATTCCGAATGTGATGTAGTGGCTTACAAGAGCCCGTATTTCCATGGATGTGAAGGCATGCGGAGAGTTGCCACGCCGAGTCAGCATTTGCCCTGAAGAATCCTTAATGCGATGTAGCGGCTGACAAGAACCTATATTTCCATCGATGTGAAGGCATGCGGAGAACTATGATGCAACCATAGAAGGTTAGCAAACCACCTCGAGCATGCTGTCGGCGTGTACTTATAGCAACCAACGTGATATAAAAGACACGCGGAAAGCACCGATAGAACCGCGAAAAAGCACCACTGCGACAACGAGAAATCTGCCTTTAATGGTAGCGCAGTTCACATGGAAGAGACATCGTGGAATGGGTGGAGCATTGGTACAAAAACAACAGGACAAACTTGGAGGCAGATAGGGACTTGAATATGGGCCACGTAGGACACCACACTGGCATAAATTGGGCTGCGCTGGGAGTGCGCAGTCAACTGGAGGAGTTACGTGATGTTAAGCCATGGGAAAGAACATGCCGGGAGGCGTGATGGACGAATTCATTGCCCAATTCGGGGTTTGAAAATACGATCATGATGAGGGTGATTGACACTGGGCCGTTCATAATGTGACAAGGACATGGCAAGGCAATCCGGTATGGTTTAACGGCTGGCATTGCCGCCTTTCAGCTTTATCTTTCCTTGAACATCCGCGGCAGCTCAGGGTTCGATTCCCCGTACCGGAATCTCCCAAGCAAATTGGGTTGTTTTTGCCCACTTCCCCCGGCCACCAGGAGCATCCGCCCGCTCGCCTTACACGACGAGATTATCTTATCGGAATCATTAGTATCTAATCTGCCTGTGTGACGTCACTGTTCAACTCTCAGCTATCTCAACCTTCCATCTCCCTGATCATGACACTTCTGACCTTGATACAAACGACACAATATTAACTATGGCTGAGCATGCGACGCTATGATTTCCTATTTCTGATCTCGCTAATCATGAACTAGATGTCCTATACCCTGAGGTCCCCACTTCTGCATTACTGGCAGTCGTGTGCTGCCTGTCGCCGATAACAGGAGTGATGCCTGCAGCGGACCGCATGAGACCACGTATTTTCAGTGGCCATGGGCTCGTGCTCAAAAAGGACATAATGAGACTTTTGGTGGGCTAGCAACATTGGGAACATGTAGCTCTGGTTAGTGTGATCCGTCCATCAACGCACGCTTTTCATCCACACCGATTTGTATTCAGGCTCGAACCAAATAGTATCCTCAGCTCAGCTTTGCCGTCATATATTAGTTGCGGCTCTTTGGAGATCGAGGATCATTGTGATTACTGTGGGTGTAAGTATGCATTTACTCTCATCTATGGTTTCTTAATTAGCCAGGCCCCTCCCTGGTTACCACCCATTCTTCTTCACCGTGTTGTACGGGATCAAGATGTACTTTCGTGTTTCATCCTGCTGACACGAGGCCTCGAGCGGGTTATAGAACTACATTTTCTTTTTTCATCCTTGCATTTCTTACCGGCAACGGCGTTCATAGCAACTTGATACTCTCCCTCAGTGATTGAACTCAAGAGCCGATAAGCTCTACTACCTTGCCGCCTGCCGCCGTCACCGACCTGCAATTATCATTATATTGAATGCACTAGTCGATCGCCACTGCTTGTGTACCTTCACGACCAGGCCTAATTTGGCTATTGGTCATATACACTATTCCAGATTCAATGGGGTGTGCTGCTGGCTCTACATAATCAACAATTTGTGCAATTGGTAGCGATCCAGGTACAAGTATAGCGTTTGTATGACGGCCACGTCAAGGTCGACTCGCAAGCTGGACTTTGAATTCCCTATCCATATCGATCTGGAGAAACGACCTAGGCCCACCAACATGCTGTCATGGGCGAGGGCCAGTGTCCAGTGCAAATTATGACCCGTGCTCACTGCACAAATCATTCTTCCGCGCTAGCCAGCTCCCATAGTCTGTGACCAAAAATACAACTAATCCTAGGAAGCCAGCTCTCATATGTAAGATGCTTCCATCGACGAGCTCCGTTGTATGTGCAAGGCTGCCATACCATAAATATTACTTAATGAGGTCCGTCCAGCTGAGCATCGTATTTTCAGGCGTGATTGAATACGAAAATTCGTTTCAAAGGCCTTTCCCCCATTTGATATGATATATTCAGTTGGATTAATCTAGTAGATGACTAACGCCTTCAATGTTCAGTCGAGGAAATGGATTTAGCAGGTACATCAATCTGGAAGGTACGGTATGAAGCAACTAGTCATGATCTCACTTCTTTAGGCAATTATTCAACGAGAATATCGATTATCAACTGAAAGATATGGTCAACCTGCGCCGAGAAACACTGCTGTATTACCTACTTCTGAACTTCTCAGCCAAATCCTGAGAGTTATTGAAACGCTGCCAGCCACCGTGCACCAACATCCATACCCACCTCTCCTTAAACATTGATTTCAGCCCTTGGACGGTACTCAAAGGGGAGAGCAAACATCGGAATCCACTTGCATAGGAATCTGGTACGAATTCGTCTGTGAAGAAATTCAAATAAAGTGAACTGAGTTGACCGAACTTGTTCTCAAAGAGATAAGATGCTGATAAGATAAAGACCGACGGCCTTTTGCTGACTCGATTAAGGATCATTATAATAACTTTCAGCCATGTCCTAGTCGTTGCCAAATGCTCTCTGTTCCTGTTCCCCTGGATGTTCGTAGTCTCATCATGGGATTCCTAGCAAATGACCTTCAACATGATGAACCATTTGCATTGGAGGCACTCTGAGCTTGTGCGCTTGTTGGCCGCCAAAACACACATATTGCGCAACCACACCTCTTTGCTACGGTTGCCCTCGAAAATGGTGTTGGTTGCTCAAAATTATCCTCCTTATTCTCTCAAGCACCCCATCTCGTGACATATGTGCGCAGAGTCTCCATTTCTAACACTGAATCCGCCGCAAGAAGGAGTACTTTCCAGGCTTGTGATCTCCGTCCTGTTCACGGTCATCAACATGCGCCGCTCCTTTCGATTTCTTCCCCATCTGCTCCGGAACATCTTTCTCACCTGTTTCCCAGCCTCACGTCGTTGAGATTCGTGGTTATCTGTGATCTTCCATCGCACTATATTGTGGGATGCCCTCTCAAGGAGCTTGGAATGAGCAAGACGACGCGTCACCTCAAAATACCCACATTCCTCCCAATTCGCACACCTGAACCTGCCAAGACTGGCATGTGCCGGAATGAATATTTGAAGGCCAATCATGAAGCATTCATCCGACCTCTCATACCTCCAATTTTCATGAATCTTCATCCACTGACTACTCGCGAAGGATGTGCCCGTAAATGGCGTTGTAACCCTACTACGTAATGCACAGCAGTCGCTTGAAATGTTGGAGATTGGTGATCTCAACAAGGATGAAATTCCACGCGATCGTGAGTTCGTTCCGAGATCTCGTCGTGAAAGCTTCTCACTTCTCAAACGAACAGTGAACAAAATGAATTTTCCGGCTCTGCAGAAATTGGAATTCTGTACGTGGATCCTCTTCAACTGATTCGGATCAGACACAGCATGGTCGATTGCGTTTATCGCGTCTATTATTGCTGGAGGAGACCCAACATGTCCTCGTGCACTGCGACAGCTCTCCTTGAAATCACGATCATGATATATCTCTGCTCTCCAGCGACTATAGTGCATGTACTTGGGCCGGATGGGCATGACACTCACTCAACCACGCTATGCGCCATTCAAGGAATTTAATATCGATGTTTGCTACATTGGCCCCAAAAACCTATACAAGAAAAAAGGCCCTTGAGGGACACATGAGGAGTGTCCTTTGGGCACTAGACGACACGAACGCGGAGCTTGTCATCCTGTATTCAAATGGAAAATAGATGACTATGTCATACATCACGGGCAGTTATCACGAGGCTGAGAATCGAGATAAAGTGGAACGTGGGCCCGCTCCTGAGTTTAAACGACCCTCATGTCCGACATCTGCGGCCTTAATCTGCCTCTTTACTTCAGACTCCCACCAACACAACATGTCGTCCCCAGAACTTGCCAACAAAAGCGCCACACAAGTAGTATCCGAACGCTGTGCGTAGTCTTTGAAAGATGCATGTTCTGGTAGCTGATCGGTGGTCATCGCAATCACACTGGCAGTCCACGCCTCAGATGCAGATGTCATATTCACATCCAGCGATAACGTCCTCTTTCACGTCCATCGTAAGAATCTGGAAACGCAGGCAGCAGCTTTCCCATCCTCTGAGTTTAACACAAAGGGAGAAATCGTCGCTCTGAGTGAGGACGCCTCGACTCTCGAGACGCTCTTCCAATATGTGTATCCCCAGCGACGCCAGAATATCGAGCTCTTGCCCTTTGAGGACCTCTATAAGCTGGCCGAGGCTGCTGAGAAGTACGAGGTCATTAGCTTGATGTCTATTTGCAATGCACGTTTAAAGTAAGAGGTCGTTTACTTTGTAAATTGACTGTACTATATGGCCTTTCAGACAACTCGTGGATGGCCATGCCACGGAAATCTTCAACTACGCCTGGAGGCACGACTATTCAGATATTCTATTGGTGGCAACGCCATTCCTCCTGGACATACCGTTGGATGAATTAGCGGTGACACTTCAACCACAACTTTTGAGCCCTTGGGTATGATGGTGCCTCCTTGCGTAAACTTGCGCTTACCAGAGGGCCTCACAGGTTCGTTATAGGGAGTGCTGGAGTCGCATAGTTCAGAATGCACTCACACAATCTTACCGAAAATGCCGACATTGCGACGACAGTCTGGATATTCCCAATGAGCGCTGGCAAGTATGGTTTCAGTTGGGCGAAAAAAGGTCTCTGAAGTCCATTCAAAATTCGTGGGCCAATGTCACCGATGGGATGAGATGCCAATACCATAAATGTACAAAAACAGGTAGTTCCCCGCTCAATCTGGACGTTGCACTTAAAAGGGCTCCACTTTTTGAAACCTTCTTGTAGCTGGAGCAATTTGAATCAATTTTACTTGACGATGAAACACATGAAACCCGCAATTTTCAGTCATGAGTAGCACAAGATTGACCCCACTTTACATATACGCATTCACCAACTTTTAACCCGAGGTCCAATCAACGATTGGGCTTTGTTCCATCTGTCCACGACTCCATGACGCCTAACTTATATGACCAGAGTCACTGAACAGCGCTCGTTCACCGAGGTGGGTGCTCAATAGATGCTCACAAGAGTGGCCGTTGTGAGACTGGTAGGGCAACCCATCAATCTTCCAAAGAATGTGCAAGAAAAACAACTGTTCGCCTACCATGACATGATGGTAGAACAATGGAGAGGAACGTCCAAGGAAGATTCATTTTCCACGACCCAAAAAGACGTACTTGACCTTCTGTTCCTAATAACAGCCACCCACACGCCATCGTGGCTTCCTGAATTTCTGCATGTGTTGCTGCCGCACCAGGCTTTCTTGAGCCTCCATGTTACTAATATACGTTAATGTTTGTCCCATTCAGTGTACCTGGCGAGAAGGTGAGCATGAATACAGGAAAACGGGGACATACATTCGCATCACTGGGCGTCAACGTGGTCGAGATACATGCAAACCTTGAGTCCAGGTATTGGGTCGAAATGTAGTTCAGAAGCCACATATCTCCCGAAACATGCTCTCACGAAAGTTCTGCAACCTTGTCAGTATTGGGCCTGAAATGATGATT